GGTGCCTGGGTGGCTCAGCCAGTTGAGTGTCCAACTTCGGCTCAGGTCATGATCTCCTGGCTCATGAGTTCGAGCCCTGCATCAGGCTCTGTGCTGACAGCTCAGAGCCTGGAGCTTGTTTCGGATTCTGTCTCTGTCTCCCTCTGCACCTGCCCTCCCCACCCTCCATCTCAAATATAAATAGACATTAAGAAAAACTTTTTTAAGTGTTTAAATGTCCAGATTCTGGGTATGAGTAGGGCTATCAAACTGTAAAATGCCTGAGCAGCAACTTAGAAAAACAAAAGTTGTTTTTCTCATCCCCAGGTTTCAAACTCAAATGACTGGACAAGCAGGTAGGTGACCTAAATGTGCAAAATCAGTCGGAGGGACACTGTGATAAGCTGAAGAGTGTGTGCTGACTCAAGGCCTTCAAATAAAATTTAAAATAATTCTGTCACCCTGAAAAGCCCTTCTCCAGTACCCATTTCCCCAGGAAATGCAGCGGGGGAGGGGCTTTCCTCTCACCCCTTACTTAACAGAGACAAAAGCTGGAGTCCAGAGAGAGGCTGTGACTTGCCCAAGGTCAATCAGAGCCAGATCTGTCTCCATAAGGGGCTCTTTTCCTGTCTCAGACACGGGGCAATTTGGCCACTGCAGAGCACATGCTGGGAACTCCTGAAGTGGAAGGGTTTCTCCTCCTCTCTGGGGTGCCTGGGTAGGTGGAGAGATTGAGTAACAGGTACCAAAGCTGCCGGCTGTCATCCTGACACCCTGGTCTCTATCATCTCACCCCACAGCCATCTCAGGGATAGAAGATAACTTCCCAATGCCCTTGGGCCTCCCATCAGCTAGGACAGAGCCTGGAATCACAACGCCCACCTAATCACAAGGACTAGCCAGGAAGCCAAGGTGTCCCTGTATCTTTTACCTGCTCTTTACAAGACCCACTACTGTGGAAAAGGAAGATAAAAGAACACATTTTACAGATAATAATGACAATAGCAAGCACTTGCATCACTCTTACTATGTTATGGGCAGTTGATGCAATGATTACCCCGTTTTACAAATAAAGAAACAGGGGGACAGAGAGGTGAAGTCATTCCCTGACACCCTAACTGGTAAGTGGCAGAGGTGGGAGCCATCTTCAGTCATTTGTCTCTAAAGCCCAAGTTCTTTGCACTGCATCACCAGTGCCTCCCTCAGGGTGGGGAGCACGGTAGAGAAAGAAGATGGATCTAATGCTAGTTTACTTTTGAGACCAGAAGAACGGGAAGACTCCTCTCTGACTCTGGAAAGGACACACTGTAATCTCAACAGCACAAGTCCCCCAGTCCCAGCTGCCTCAGAGCCTTTCCCTTGCCAGCCCGCAGACTGGAACACGGACTCCGTGTGCCATCTAGGGTCCACGCTCTTTGGGGGAACACATTAGGCTCAGCGCACAGCCAGGGAGGCTCAGCCAGTCTGCAGAGAATGAGGTGTCTGGGCGTTGCAGCCCTCCCGGCAGGTGAGCCTCCCTCCATCCTCTGATGAGAGCAAAGCTGCTGGGTCCTGCCATGGGAGTGGGCGCCGCACCCACTCCCACGGGCTTTCTTACAGCTGCCAAGAGAGGACCCCGGCCACGTAACTCCCAGAGCCCACCTGGGACTTGGAGGCAGCTCTGGAGACGGGGGGCGGGACCTCACTGAAACTGAGGGAGGACTTGTTCGAGTGCTAAGAGGGTCTGGGAGGAGTTAGAATGGGGAGGGGTCAGGAGGAAGGAAAGGAGAAGAGGCGGAGCTGGGAAACCCGGACAGTTAAAGCTGAAAGGGGGAGTACGGGCTGGGAGAGGGTGGCGAAGCTGTACGGGAGGATGGGAGGGGCAAGGCTGATATTCGGGGCCCCGGGTGGGAGGAGGGTGACTTCTCCCCTCGATCCCCGGAAGCTAATAGTCAGGAATTGTCTGCTATGACATTCTCCCGAAGGGCCGGTCTGTCGGAACCCGGCCCAGCAGTCTCTGCGTCTCCCCCTCCCTTCCCGAAGGTGGAAGGGGCCAAGGGGGTGGGGCCGGAGAAAGGGTTGGGGGGATCTATACCGGGCCCCCCACCGATAGCAGCCCCACATTCCAGCTGCGAGAACAGATGGACGCAGCGGCGGCTCACCTCGGGGGCTCTTTGCCGGCTGTGCGCGGAGATCCAGGCTGAGGCGGAGATCTGGAGTCCCCGGCGCCTTTCTCTCCAGCAGGGCTGGAGGGTTGGGGGACGGCCGCTGAGCGACCCTCTGGGGAGGGGGGAAAAGAAGGGGTGCAAACCCCTCGGGTCCTAGAACTGAGAGGGGGCGGAGGAACAGACAGCCCGCTCCTCGCGCGGCGCATCCATCCTCCAGGGCTTGACCAGTACTCTCTTCACACCAAGACCCCTTTCTAGGGTTTCCAGTCCTGGCGCCTCTGGGAAGGGGACCCCTGCCCGGCCGTGCCCCGCCCCCGGCCCCCGCCCCGCCGACGTCGCATTAGCATGAGCGACGCAAGTGGCCCGGGCACCACTCGGGGGCCGAGACTCGCCGCGTCACAGCCCCGAGTGGAAAGGAAAAAAAGAGGAGGCGGAGGAGGAGGAGGCAAGAGCCGACGCGAAGGGAGGGGAGAGCGGCGGCGGGGCGAGTGAGCCAGCGGGCGGGCGGCAGCAGCATGCCCTTCGGCCCGCGCGGGCGGCCTTTCAACGCTTCGGGGACCGCGCCTGACGAGCCCAAGGCGCCGCGCGCTCGGTCTCTGGCCCCAGCCACTCGGCGCGCCCACCTTCCCTGACAGTCCCCGAGCCCAGCAGCGGCGGGTCCGGGCTTGGCTGCGAACGGCCGGAGGCGTCTCGCCGGACAGGGTCTTTGCCTTTCCCGGGACAACGGGCCATGAGCCCTGCAGCCACCTGAGACACAGGGGGCGCTGCGCCGCGCGGACCGCGCCCGCGAAGTTCCGTGCCCTCGGCTCTGCACTGCAGGGCGCCCGCGCCCAGGCGGCCCCAGCGGAGGCGTCCTCGGAAGAGCGGAGGAGTAGAGGCAATGGAACCCGCGGCGCCCGCGGGCCAGGCCCGGGCGGCAGCCAGCAAGCTGTCGGAGGCGATGGGCGCAGTGCTGCAGGATCCTCGGCGGCAGCGGCGCCTGGTGCTGGTCATCGTGTGCGTGGCTCTCTTCCTGGACAACATGCTGTACATGGTCATCGTGCCCATCGTGCCCGACTACATTGCCCACATGCATAAGGCCGGCAGGCCCACCATGAGCCCCAAAGTGCACACCCTGCAGGCGCCCACTCCAGCCAGTGGCAGTGACAACATGGGCAACACCTCAGAGTCCCCGACGGAGAGTGAGGACGTGAAGATCGGGGTGCTGTTTGCCTCCAAGGCCATCCTGCAGCTGCTGGTGAACCCCCTGAGTGGGCCCTTCATTGACCGTATGAGCTACGACGTGCCGCTGCTTATCGGCCTGGGCGTCTTGTTCGCCTCCACCGTGCTGTTCGCGTTCGCGGAGGACTATGCTATGCTCTTCGCTGCACGCAGCCTGCAAGGCCTGGGCTCAGCCTTTGCGGATACGTCCGGCATTGCCATGATCGCCGACAAGTATCCTGAAGAGCCGGAGCGCAGTCGTGCGTTGGGCGTGGCGCTGGCCTTCATCAGCTTCGGGAGTCTGGTGGCGCCACCCTTCGGGGGCTTCCTCTACGGGTTCGCGGGCAAGCCTGTGCCCTTTCTGGTGCTCGCCGCTGTTTCGCTGCTCGACGCGCTGTTGCTGCTGGTGGTGGCCAAGCCCTTCTCGGCCGTGACGCGGGCGCGAGCCAACCTGCCGGTAGGCACACCCATCCACCGCCTCATGCTGGACCCTTACATCGCCGTGGTGGCCGGGGCGCTCACCACCTGCAACATCCCCCTCGCCTTCCTCGAGCCCACCATCGCCACGTGGATGGAGCACACGATGGCGGCGTCTGAATGGCAGACGGGCATGGCCTGGCTGCCAGCTTTCGTGCCGCATGTGCTAGGTGTCTACCTCACCGTGCGCCTGGCGGCGCGCTATCCACACCTGCAGTGGCTGTACGGAGCACTAGGGCTGGCAGTGATCGGCGCCAGCTCTTGCGTGGTGCCTGCCTGCCGCTCCTTCGCACCACTGGTGATCTCACTCTGCGGCCTCTGCTTCGGCATCGCGCTAGTTGACACGGCACTGCTGCCCACGCTCGCCTTTCTCGTGGACGTGCGCCACGTCTCGGTCTACGGCAGCGTCTATGCCATCGCCGACATCTCCTATTCCGTGGCCTATGCTCTCGGGCCCATAGTGGCGGGGCACATAGTGCACTCGCTTGGTTTTGTGCAACTTAGCCTTGGCATGGGCCTGGCCAACCTGCTCTACGCGCCGGTCCTGCTGCTGCTGCGCAACGTGGGCCTCCTGAGGCGCTCCCGCTCTGAGCGCGACGTGCTGCTGGATGAGCCCCCGCAGGGTCTGTATGATGCTGTGCGCCTGCGTGAGCGCCCTGTGGCCGACCCAGACGGCGCCCCTCGAAGCCCTTCGGGCCCCTTTGACGAGTGCGAGGACGTCTACAACAATTACTACACCCACAGCTAGCAGCCCAGCTACTCTCCCGAGCCATCCCCTCACCGCCCACCCCCCGGGTCAAGGTGGCTACTCTGTGAGAGTACTGGCCAGCTTAGACTCAAGGCCCACCCCTCCAACGAGTATCCTACACTCTCGCCCATCTTGACTTGCCTGCCGGGATCCCCCCACTTTGACCCTTTCTGTGTTTCCCTCCCTCTAGTCCAGTGGGACGTGGAGCACGGAAGCATACAAAACGATACACTCCTGGCAGAGATAAAGAGGTGCGCAAGCCGCCACCTCGGGGCTCCCCTGTGTAGAACGGTCCGTCTGTCTGTCTGTCTTTCCTTCCGTTCCTCTCAGTGCCAACTTAGCCCGCAGCACCGCGGTGCTTCCGGCCAGAATCAATAAACTATATCTGTTCGAGACCGAGTCTCTTTACTGATGAGGGTGGGCGGCCCGGCACAGGGCCAGGGCAGAGGGGAGGGCAGAGGGGAGGGTGAGCTGAGTCTAGCCCCGATCCAGGTCTGGCAAGCACTCGGGAAGCCTGTGGCTCTTGCTACCTGGTAAAGGAGATATGAAAGAAGCAAAACCAACAAGGGATCCCACCCTCAGACACCGTGTTGTACATGGCTCTCTTCCCTCGAGACAGCCCCTCCCTCCCAGTCCCAACGCAGCGCCCCAGGGCGACGCCCGAGGGAGCCTGAGGATCCGCTCCCTCCGGGTACTCTAGTCCCCGCCCCTTGAGGACACTCCCAGTGTCAGCCACTGAGCTCTGAAACGCCAGAGCCCCGCATCCTGCCCGGTCCAGGCTCCAGTGAGGAGTAGGGGCCGAGCTGTTCCGGGCAGAGATCCGCTCTCTGGAAAAGCGCTTGTGTCGTGTGTGCTCGTTAGAGAGTTAGGCTCTATCCTTCGAGGAGTGGGGAAACTGTTGATGTGTCTGCTCTGTCCTGGCTGTGCGGGTCTGAGTCGTGACTGAAGAGGGTGCCAGTGTGGGAGCTGGTGCCAACCCCCCACCCTTACCCCCACCCTTACCCTGGCCTTGGTGGAAGCAGCTGGCCAAGGCTGTCAGAATTCTCCCCACCTTGAGCGCAGGTCTCCGGAGCCGCAGGCCCCCGTTTGCAGGCCACTCCCAGTCCTGGAGCCTGCGGCCTGATGAAGGCCGAAGAGCCCTCCAATTCTGGCAAGGAGAGGCAGCAGAGTTGGGGTACGCCTGTGTATTAAACAATGCCTGCGAGAGTCTTCACTGCTGGTGTGTGCACGTCTGTCCTCGTCTGTGTGTTGGGCTGTGTTGCGTGCGTTTGGGCAGGGTCTGTCTTTGTGGGTCTGTCTGTATGTGTTGGTGTGTAAGGATCTGTATCTGGGGTGGGGGGAGGAGTGCTTTGTCTGGGAGGAGTGTCTATGAGCATCCCCAGGTCTGTATCTCCACTCCCTCACCCCATAGTGCCAGCAAGGATGGGGTGGGAATAGAAAAGGAAGGAGGACCTGCAGTGATCAACAAACAGGATGATGATGATGATGATGATGATGATGATGATGATGATGATTTTGAAAGAAGTTGTGGTACGGTTTGAGCCTGTCCTAGACGGCGGGGAGGGCAGATTTCTCCAGACCCAACCCTTCCCAGGGTGGTGCGGACGCAACCGGGGCTTGGATAATGGAGTTGGGAGAGCCCGGCGACTGGGGATGGCTGGGCGGGGTGCAAAAGGCA